GGACCCTGTAGGGTTTTGGGAGGGCCCTGGGTGCTGGGCACAGACACCCCTCCATCAGGGGGGCCCACAGGGCACTGGAGCACGGGGTGCCAGAACCCCCCCGTGTGGGGTGAGAGCAGGGTGTCCCTCATCCCTCACCCCAGAGGAGGTTTTGGGCACCCAACATGGGGCTCCTGCTGTCACCTGCTTCCCATCCTTCCCGTGCCCTCTTCCAGCCATTCCCCTGGGGTTTCGGAGACCTCTGCTGCACGAATCACCAAACTTCTGGAAACCTGGGGGGAAGAAAACCAGGAAAATCATGAGGAAAACGTTGATTTTAAGTCACACTAAAGTGTTTATTTTAAAAACGAGGTAGAATGGGACCAATGGAGACACAAAGGTGAGCCTGGAGTAACAGATGTTGGCTGAGGGGGTGAGGAAACATCTCTAATTAACCCACAGGATGACAAGGAATCTTCCCACACGCTTTATTAGAGAGATTGCCATAAATAAAACCTCACATGAGAATCCAGGAGCACTCAGATCCCAAAGATCCTTACATCCCAATTCCTAATGCTCCAAACCTGAACTCGGGAGGAAGCTTTTCCTGCCGCACGAGGTTTAATATCAGGATTTAGCCCTCTAGACATGCATAAAAAAAGGGGAGATTTTACAAATTAACAAGGATTTTGAGGGGGGAAGAATGTACTCGGTGTGTGGTTCGGAGGTATCCGTGCAGAGCGGGCCTAGGCAGAGGTGGTTTTCCTGGGAATGAGGCCGTTGGCCAGGTCCCAGCGCACTTCCCAGCGCAGGGCAGCTCTCTTCTTCTCAGTGGGCACCGTATAGGTGTTGGGGATGTAGAGGTGCTGCGGTGGCTTCCCGGGAAGCTCGGCCTTGCAGAGCATCTGCTCCCGGATGCTCCAGCGCAGCTCCTGCCGCTGATCCTCTCCCGGGATTCGGAATTTCTCCCATTCTCGTTTATACTCAAAGTATTTGGCCACTCGGTCAGTCTTCCCCCTGTTCCGTCCCAGCAGCTCAAGCCGTGGTGGGATGAAGGATTTGGGTTGTTCCGCTGTGTACTGAGAAACAGAAGAGCTCCTGCTCCCAAAATCCCCGAGGAGAAAGGGGGTGCTGTCCGCAGGGAGCCACTGGCACAGGGATTCATCATGGGAGCTGCTGCTGGTCTCAATCTCCCCCTCAGAGATGCTGTCATCTGGCTCAGGCAATTCCTGCCTCGGGCTCCAAGCCTCGGGATCGCTCTCGGGCTCGCTGGGCACTGACTCGTCGGACACTTCCACTCCCCCATCGGGTCTGCGCCTCAGCACCTTCCTTTTCATGACCAGCCTCCTGGCTCCTCTCTGCTCCTTGGAACATCGAGGAAAGCCTGGCTGTATTCCCACAGCGAGGGAGGCCTCAGCATAGGGATCGTGGTGGGGATGCGCCCGCTGCTTGCTGCTTCCATGCTGGGGGTACAGCGCTGCAGCCGGCAGCTCCCCGGTGTCCAGATTGGTCCATTCATACCTGCCTGCTCCCATTGTATCCATGATTTTCACCAAATTGGGTGGATTCTGCAAAGAAACAGTAAACCAGAGTTAATTCCTTGCAGCACTTGGACC